TTGCTGCTTACTACAATATTTTTATATTTTTATGAACTATGACTATTCTCTAGAAACTAGATACTCTTAATCAAAATAAAAACTGTATTCACTTGTAGTATAGAGTTCAAGCTGAGCATTTTCTATATAGAAAAAATCTTCAAGTAGATGAGATACTATACCAAAGTTTAGAGTATACTTAAGTGGTTCAATCCTTTATAAACTCCTGTAATCCTTTTTTTTAAAAATATTATGCATATGATCTCAGAATATATACTTATCTTAATATATTTTTGGTTTTTCTGAATTAAATCCTTTTCTAATCTGCTTCATATGATTGACTAACTTATGTATTTATTCTGTTTCTTATTTGTCATGTCCAAACAAGCATATAATTATAAAAGAAATTGATACATAATGTTAATCTTTTGATGAAGGTGAGCCAAATCACTACTTTTTAAAAAAAAGAAAACAAAAAAAAGACGAAGAGAAAGTATATCATTGTTATAAGAGTTCAAGTTAAGGAGAGTTTTCTTAGTTGTTTTTCTTTTTCTTTTGTTTCTAATATTCTTAATCAGAAAACTGATTTTGTCTCTACTTGTTTTCAAAATATTCTTCCAGTTTGAATGCCAAATATGTGAAAGAGTCCACTAAACAAAAAGCTTAACTTAAAGCAAGAACCACTCAAGTTTCATCTACTCTTTGGTGTATCATGTACTTGAGCTTTGTCGACAGCAAGTTTACTTAATGTAAAACTAAGAATATTATCCACTTTGGAGTCAGAGTTTTCAATCTACTTTTAGTACCAACTTGGTTCAGGTGATCATTAGAAAAAGTTAATAAAGATGTATTTAATTACTTCTACTTGGCAACATAAAGAGCTTTCTAGTAAAATTGATTATTTTAGTTAGATTTGAATATATAGTTATTATAATATTGTTAGTACTATTTTAATTACTAAAAAAATCTAAAAACTTTGTTCAAAATTAATTTTTAAACTATTTAATATATTAAATATTATACTTTTTTTTTCTATATTACTAAGTAACTATTAAATTCTAAATTACAAAGTTATAACAATTTAACCAAAAAAATTTAATTTTAAATTTAATTTTTATAACTATTGTTATATTGCAAAAATTTTCATCTTTAACAAAGCTTATTTATAAGCCAACTATTTTGACTTTATATAATTATAAATATACAGATTTTTCAAAAAAAACTTATTATTTGATTAAATAAGCATTTAATTAATATTTTATTAATGGATTTTTTTTTACCTATTACATTACTTATATATCTTTTTCCTTTTATTAAATATGCACCTTCTACTAATTATGCTATTTTATCAAATATGCTTTTTTTATCATATATGTGTTTTTTGCTAAATATTTGATTAAACTAACTATGATAACTATGCTAACTATGCTAATTATGCTAAATATGTTAAATATGCTAAATATGCTAAATATGTGAAATATGCCAAATACGCTGTTTATACTAACCAATATACCTGTAATTTCTTTGATTTCTTTAATTCATTATGCATTTTTTTTGACAGTTTGCCTAATAAGTTATTACTTAATTTTTTTATGTAATACTATATAACTTTCTTTTAAATCTTTATCCGATTTTTAAGGGTGCCTTTGAGAATAACTTTTGAAATTTCACAACTCAGCATTATGATATGGGCTAGGTGCTGGTAAAAGGAACCAAATTGACTAAAAATAGATTTTGCGAAAATTTGATCTTTATATTAGAAAAATACAGATTTTAAAAGATTATATTATAAAATTTTATTAATGTAACAACATTTCTTGCTTAAGTAGAAAATGTTCCTAAGCTAATTTTAAATTAGTTAAACTTAAAATAATCATTTTGAAAAAATTATCAATTTGATTCCTTTTTCCAGCACCTAGCCCATATATTTAAAGTAAACCTTAACTGTATTCAATAATACAATTCTGTCTATTCTAGTCTATACTCTTAGGATTTTTAATCCGAACTAAAATTCTTGTATAATAAGTTTAAAAATATTTTGCTACAAGTGTTAGGGGTTAGAGTTTTGGTTTAACTTTAAGTTACACCTGATTTTAAATTTTAATTTGACCAAATAGCAAAGTTAGTGACGCCAGGGTGGTTTGTCCAGACTGATCCAGACCGGTCCGGTCTTAAGACTAAGAGCAGACCAATAATTTTCATGTCTAGATCGGTCTTAAGACATAACATCGGAAGTAAAAGATAATTTTCAAAGTTTTTTAAAAGTATTATATTTATACGTATGGTATTTACAAATTTTCGTCGTGTTGTACAATAAACTTACTGGGGTTAGATCGGTTTCGTACGGGGGGCTATGAACTCGTTGCTAACTAGTTCAGGACCAAGTTTTAAAAAAGAATCAATCAAATCAAAATATGTTTAATGTATGTAATGAAATATACAGTAAAATTTTTGCATCTGTATTAAATGTTTGTCAAATTTGAGTAGTACGCGGGAAGGGAATACTAATTAATATAAAACCCTGAAGATGAAATATCATTTGACAAAAATTACAGTAGTGGCGGTAGTACTAATGTTTTTAATGCGCACTTCTATCTTATAATTTTAATTTTTGTTTACCAAACCCTATATGCATAAATGTCAGACCAAGCTCATTGTGTAGGTCAAGTTACTGAATCGGAGCAAACCTTTAATCCATGGGAATATTAGCTAGTCCTTGAGAAATAAGCACGTATTGCTTTATTATGATGCTATTACAGTAATAATAAACCATGTGGTTAGTATGTAATATTTAAAAATATGATCCGAACATAGGTGATAGTCAAGGGAGCAGATTAGGTAATGTTTTACGTAGGGAGTTTTGGATAGTAAGGGTTATAAATCAATACGTATTAGATAATCAACATTCTATAATGTTTGTTTATTAAGAAAAAAAATAATAATTATCGTTATCGTTATCATTATCATTATCATATCGTTAATAACATTAACAAGCGTAAATAAATGTTACAATATAAAATAAAATAAAAATATTAATAATGATTACGAATATGCCCAGTTTACTAAATTTTTTCAGAATATTTAAATTTTTGAAGGACAGTATTAAATTTATCATGATAAAACAAAGAACATTCTAATAATATTTACGACATACATTTTAAATAATGATTTCATATTATATGATTGTAAAAAAAGATACATATTTAATTTCATTTTATGATTTAATTTCATTTTATGATTATGTACTCTCAAATTAATATTTGTACGAAAAACAAATTACAGGTTTGCGTAACTGAATCTCGAATCTCGAATGAATCTATAATATTTTAAGCGTTACAAATGTATTAATGACATTTATAATTACATTTATAATTACATTTATAATTACATTTATAATTATTAATGTAATAATTATGTAAAATAAAAGTCTAGTATCTACATACGTACAATTAAAAAACATATATGCAAATATTAAAAGCGTTAGTAAGTATATATACAGTAAATATTAATAATAAAGGAGTGTGTTACAGTTAGTAATACAAAACAATAAAAATTTTAGAGAGCTTTCTAAACTGGAATTCAGTTAAACCTTTTTAATTTGAAAGTGATTTTAGTATTATTAATTGTTGAATCCAATTGTCAAAGCCATTTGTCATAGTAATTATTAAAGCTATATTGCTAGAGTCTATCATTTTTTCGATTAGCTATATCGTCTAACTTGTTACATCCAACATTATGCAGAATTATGCTGATCTTGAAGATCATTCGGATCAAAAAAAAACGGCTAAACCTTATCTTTGATACACTAAACGAAAAATATCTATAATGCAGCTTTTTTTTTTTTTATACATATATACAATCCTAATCTAAACAGTCTATAACCAAGACTATTCTTGCTAACTTCTTTTATTCGACCTTGGTACTGGGTCTATAAAATTAAGAATCATATAATACCTGTTACGAGATTTATTACTAAATTCATTAAGTTATTGCAAGTCCTGCGTTTGATCTTTCAATTAGACTAATATGTACATATATGTGTTTGAAGAATACGAACAACCTTTGTCTCAATTCCAAATTCTTTCATAACTTGTTACATACTGTATGTATATCATTCTACAAGATTTGAGCTTTTTATTTGGATTAGAAATAGCTACGTATAGTATAATAAAAAGAAGCAAAAAAAAATTTTTTTTATATAGAATATATAACGAAAGGTCATAAAACTTAATCGATTGGTTCTAATAACCGGCCGGGTCAAATTTTACAAAGCTTTAAGATTTTACTATCCGGGTGAGTTTTTCAAAAAAAAAAACAAAATTTTTATATGTATTATATATAAAACTTTTTGAAAATCAGATTAAAAGCCGGGTTGCTGGATCACTTTAAAGTTTTTTATGTCATAAGAACCAATTTATTAAGTTTGTATAGCCTAAATTGTGTAGACTAAATCTATCGTCACGTGATAGTAAAGTATCGTCAAGTTTAAAAAATGTAATGTGTAATGAATAGACCCACTTATCTATTTTCAAATTATAATTAGCAGTTTTTAAATACAGTTTTTCAGATCCGCCAATAATACATGAAATATTTTAACTCCAGACATTCTCTCTTTTTGAGTATGACATTCACTTTTAGCGAGATCATTACGTATTACGATCCATTTGTTTAAGTGAATTTTTTTTTTTTTTATTAAATAACATTTTAACAAAAAGTATGTTATTTGTTAATGTGCCGCAGCATGCAAATACAATTTTAACTATATATATAAAAAACAATTATTTTACGGTGATATCTTTAATATCACGATTTAAGTCTAACTAAATAATTTTATGTGATGTGTCTGTACATTAACCATCAATTTCTATTGATAGTTCACACGAATTATTAAAGATTGTAAAGATTGTAAGATTGTAAAGATTGTAAAGATTGTTAAAATGTGAGAAAATATTTATGAAGTTAATATATATATATTTTTTGGGGTTTTGTTTTTTTTTTTTTTTTTTAAAAAAAAAGTCCATTTAATATAGTTTAGTATACATCTCACGAATGATATTAGAAGAAAGGATTGGAGGCGGCAATATCACTGATTGGCCACAATGAGAATTAAAGGCGTCAGTACCTGATAATTTCCACGTTGGTTGTATAGGATAAATAGGAGGAAATTCAAATGTCAATTTTTGATGATGATGATGTTGATGACAAGTTTGAACAGATACTGGAGTATGAACAGAAGAAGAATCCGATGAATCTGAAGAACAAGTTGATGAAGTAGAAGTTCTTCGACCATATCGGTCTTTTAGTCGTTCATAAGGAGGGGTGAGTTTACAAAGTTCATTAAATGTAGTAGATATCGGTTCATCATAAAAGATAATTTTATCATTTTCTTCGTCAGTCTCCATTGGAAGGCATGATGGATATGTAGATGTGATGAAAGTTTTATTAAAACTGTTGTCACGAATATTGGAATTATTAAAAGTTGGAGATATTGATAAAGTATTCACATCCAAATTATGTATTGGGAATGGTAATGTACGTGATTTATCATAAGATGGATATGAATTATTTCGTCGTGGTGAAGATCTACTATATGAAGACGCACGAAGTGGTGAATAAGAAATTGGTCTTTGACGATGATGAAATAGTTGAGATGATGATGATGATCGTTGATGATGTCTCAGGGAAAGAGTTCTTTGAGATGAATTAACACCTATCAATCCTTGAGGATTAATATTTAATTTTGGTAATGTTTGTAGTGTTTTTAAAAGTGGACTGAGATGTAATTCTAGATCCGATTTATGAATTCGAAGATCATAATCTAGTAAGGAGAGAAATTGTCTTTCCATGAGATTAACTTTAGATACGGTATATATACCAGAGAATCTAGACCAATATTTGTTTCTAGGAGAAGAGTCATTCAAGTATTTTCTATATAACAAAATAAGAAAATTGATCAGTTAATTAAAAAGAATTATTTATTAATTATATAATCAAATGAAATGGATAACTTACGATGCAACTATTAGAGTGGCAAGAAAAACTCTGTGACGTGTACAGTGCATACCTACAAAAAAATAATAAAGATCGGTTAGACTAATTGTTAAAAGGTCTCGCGGAAATTTGTCATGTGATAAGCTCGTATAGTCACATGCTCAAATGCTTAATCATTATACAAACCTCTTGCAAGTTTTGGTAATTTGTTTCTTAGACGATCTAAGTAAACGATCGTTGATAGAAAAGTGGCAGTTGAAACATTTGATTTTACTACTAATCGGTGTATAAATGTTATCAAAGGAGGTAAAGGTTGGTTATCATCACCAAGGGCTCGTACTATATTTGTCAACTGAGAGGTTTGTTGTTGACTAGTCGGTGGTGGGTCGCATGGGATTACTTCAGCAGCTTTTCGAGCGACGTGAGCTAAAATAGAAAATAAAACATAAGTTAAATAAGTTTAAAGTCAAATAAAGTCAAATAAAGTTATTAAATAAGTTAAATAAGTTAAAGAAGAAAACATACCAATCATTTGAGGAGTTATAGGACCGCTAACCAAGAGTTTTAAAGCTGCATCAGTATCCATCATTATGTTAGAGTAAGCGAAGCAGATAGTTATCTTGTAATATTTTAAAGATAGCTTCTGTGTCAAAGTTTAATTACTAAACTTGACAGAGGAATGAATGGTCTTTATATAAAAAAAAAAATAATAATAAACTTGGGATAGTGATCAAGTTGAATTTTTTTTGAAAAAAATTCAGACAATAATTTTCAATAATTTTAAATTATCATCGAGATAAAGTAGTATCGCTTGACAATATGCAGTATCGCGTATGTTTTTTCGAATTGGAAATCTTTAATTATAATTTGGAAGGATTATTGCTTTGAATTGATTATTATTGATTATTATTGATTATATATAAGAAGAAGATTGCGCTTTCGTCGATGACAGAAAAAACAAAGCTGAGGAAAAAAAAAGGATTTACTGCTTATATATATAGTTATTCGGAATTTACTATAGTAGTCTCATGCAAAATATGTAAAATTAATGTAAAATCAGGAGTAAGTATAGGCTCAAATAAAGTAGTAAATAGAAATAAATAAATACACAATAGAAAAATAAATTAAATATAAAAGGATAAAGTAAAAAAAATATATTTTTAAATAAAAATTGGGTAAGATCATCGGATTTAAAAAGTCAATGATTTCTATCAACCCCTTCTTTACAAGAAAAACACAAAAGGAAATAAATTCATAAAATCGAATAACTTATTTTGTGATGATGTAATCTTGACCATTCTAATTACCCATGTATGGTCACTCTTATCACGCATGTAAACACGTAGTATATATTTTTATACATGCTGTGGTTTATAAGAAATATATCAAAATATGCGACATGTATCATTAATATAATCAATAATTACGATAGTAAATTAGCAGTAGCCAAATACATATAGACAAACAAATGCATTATTGACGTGAGAATATCTCTCGTGGTATCGTATAATTGGCTTTAAAAGAATTTATTGAAAATCATTAAAAATGCTGAGATCGTTGAAATTATTGGTAATTATACTAATTATATGTAATAATTAATTAATATCAGACCATTATGAGTAGTACATTGGTATGGAAGGATTAGCAATGATAGTACATATGTATTACTTTATTAGTGCAAAAATAGTGTAAAAAACAATGCAAAACTAGTGTGAAACTAGTGTAAAACTAGTGTAAAATTATCGTAAAATTACCGCAATTACCGCAATTACCGCAATTATTGTAAAATTATTGTAAAATTATTGTAAATTATTATAAAAATAGTGTACAAATAGTGTAAATTACAGAAATAATATAATTACAGAAATAATTACGGAAATAATTACAAAAATAATTACAGAAATAATTACAGAAATAATTACAGAAATAATTACAGAAATAATTACAAAAGTAATTATAGAAAGAAATAGGATTAAACAATATTATAAATATTATAATCCATTATGATGTATCATGAAGTACATTATTTAAAAGCGTTTAAAAGCGAGACGAATAATTTATTAAATCATACGATTACATTATGATAAACAAATGTAATATTCATGTGTCTCGGCACAGTTGGTACTTACATCTTGCAGATTTTATCTCGAATTATGCAAATTAATACCAATAAGGAATTAATAATTTTTTAATAAAAAAAAAAAAAAAAAAACTAATAAAGGCAAATCATATCAACCAACGATTGTTAACAGAACATAAACTCTTTGTATGCAATCAAAAACAAGTTTCTTGTCGTTTATTAATCACACAATCATTTAACTAGTATCATATCAATTTAACACGGAATTTGTTTTTCCTTGGCTCACTGTTTCCATACTTTATGTGAGTATCACGACATAGCCGACGAAACGTGGCGGAGGTCGTTAAGTGTCCTATTATTACCAATTATTTATTATGTCAGATTATTACTTGACCAATTAAATTCATTTATTCATTAGTAAAGACAGTTTATTTGGCAAATACATTGAAAGCTTGGTCATTTCATTTTCCTAAATAGTAAACTAAATATTAAAAGAATTTATTTTTGTATTACCGTTTCTTAGAAAAATCTTGATTCATTGGTCAGCTAAATATGTAGTTGAAGTTATACTTCATCAGCATTTAATAACATTTAATAACTTTTTAATAACTTTTTAATAATACTTTAATAACATTTAATAATTATTTTTTATTAATTTTACGCCATCAATAACATCAATAACATCAATAAGCAGAATTAATTAAAGGAATAACTTTTAAAAAACCTAAAAAACTATATATGTACATACATTTATATTTTATTATTCTCTTTTTTAAATTAAATTTTAACACGCGCGACCAAGTTGAACTCATGTTGATACATACTTAGTAGTTAACATTGGATCAAATCATTTAAAAAATTTGTACGGAGAATGTCCGGCGATCAATGTTAATCTTTCCTAGTTAACGCATATACATACTCGGGATGATGGTGATGTCCGTTATTATTGTATTTTATTAGATTGTATGATTTAGAATTATTTACATTTATTTAGTTTTATTATGGTATTACTGGAGTGGTTTGATGACTACCACGGGAACCGCCACAAACCCGCCGTCTCCGGATAACCACTAAATAATTAAGGCCGATAGACGGAACTTATTATATATGGCTTCTAAATCATAAGACTCAAAATGATGTTGATTTACTAATAACGATAAAAATATCCTTTATTTTGATTATCTCAATCTTTAAAACATTTCTAATATTCATTATTATTATTGTATCGAAAAATTACTATCTATGATTTAACTATTTGTGTATTAATTACCAATAATGAAAACGAAGTATTAAAGGCTTAATGCCGCCGATTGATTGTAATCTATTGAAAATCTTACTTGGCTTATCCTCTCGGATTTTTATTATTTAACTCCCTATTGTTCAATTTAGTAAGTTTATTCTATTTATTCAATTTGTCCAATTTATTCATTTTACCTAATTTGTTCATTTTATTCGATTTTTGTCCTTTTTGTTCATTTGCTCCATTTTTGTTCGGTTTTTTCTAATTTCGATTTGTCCTATTTTTTTGTTCGATGTTTCTAATATATTTATTCATTTTTCTTATTGGTTTAAAATTCCTTGTCACATAGTAGTTTGAGGCTTTTCGTATTCCTGTTACCTATCCAAAGTTTTTGGAATTATATTCTTATTGCCGAAATTTGCATAAACCTTATTTGGTTCGGGCGATGTCAGGCGATGTCTGTTATGTATAGATGACGTATCACATTAAACTTTTATTTCTATATTTATCATCCTTATTTACTTTTTTTGCCTTTTTTTGGTTATTCTCTAGAACTTTTCTACTATTCTTTTCAACGCCACAATATTTAAGTTGGTTACACCTATCGAAATCTAGAACTTATTGTTTCATCATCTATCTTATTTACACTGCCTTAATTCGGAATCACATTCCGTTATACTTTTCCTTTGGATTTTTCAAAACTCTTAATTTGTCTCAAATTTCATATGAAACATATATATATCTTTGTTTCTTGCCCTAATTTCTCTTTCAGGTATTTTGCCAAAGCGATAAAGTCTTTTTATTCTATTCATATTGTTTCATATATTAATGTACCATATTATAATTTCCTATCATGTGTGAAACAATCAATTTATACAAAATAAAAATGCATGCATATGCTACTTCTGCGTATGCAAAGTTTATACTCATCTGACGGCAAATTCTCAATCTAATCTTTTTTTTTTTTTTTTTTTATCTAAATCATGAATTAAAAAGATATTGTGAAAAATGTTTAGATTTAAAAAAGAATACTGGAATATATTGTATATAATTCTGTTACAAAAAAAAAATAATAATAAAAAAGTTTTATTTACTATTGTACAAAGAACTTTTTTTGATTTACAATGAATATAAAGTTTTAACAAAGTTTTAAAATAAATTACGTAAGATTTATTCGGCTTATTTTCAAAAATTCTTTTTATGTATAAATTCAAGTTTTAATATATTTTTCTTTTTATAAAATTTTTGTAGAAGTAATACAGTAGAATCTATTCATTTCAATTTTTTAATATTACCTTAGTCATTGGCAAAATTGAAATGTCGGGGAGTGCCCTAGTCATTGACGAAAACAAAGTGTCGGGAATACCCTAGTCTCATATTTGCGAAAACAAAGTGTCGGGAATGCCCTTGTTATTGGCGAAAACAAATTGTCGGGAGTATCCTAAAAACAAATTGTCGGGAGTATCCTAAAAACAAATTGTCGAGAGTATCCTAAAAACAAATTGTCGAGAGTATCCTAAAAACAAAGTGTCGACAGTATCCTAAAAACAAAGTGTCGGGAATATCCTAAAAACAAAGTGTCGGGAATATCCTAGTCATTGACGAAACCGAAATGTTGGGAGTACCCTAGCCATTGGCGAAAACAAAGTGTCGGGAGTATGAATTCCAACCATTCACTATAACGGTGTCGGGAGTATGATTTCTAACCATTACTATAACGATATAACAATTCACTATAACGTAAGAAAATATATTCACATAGCCAAAAATTCGAATCAATAAAAAAAAAGCTCTTATTGAATTTATAAAGTACTAATGTTTAAAATTGTCAATAAGAAGAAATAAAATCGGAAACAAAAAAACTTTAAAAATTATCAATCCAAATTTTTTAAGTGAAATTAGGTCATGCAAAATTATTTAGTGGTTTCATAACCCGGCCGGGTCAGCTTTTACAGCTGGTTTCATAAATTCTGAGACATCTGAAAAGTTTCTTGTTTACAGAAACCTTCTCGACTTCGTTCTAAGAATCACTAAATTTTCGTAAACCACATCGCTATTCTTAGAACTTCGATACAGAGAATGTGTCGCATTATGGAGAAACATGAATATCCCATGCGCAGTAACTACATAGTAACTAGTGGTGTTACCTAAACCCGGTGATTTGGAACTTAGTAGAATTCCAAAGGTTTTTACTAGTTTCAACAATTGTGTCATAACTGCGTTATAACCCAAACTTTGGTACTGTTCACTTTACCGACACTCATTTCGT